AGAGAGAGACTAGGCCCATGCATAAACATTTTTTTCATTATGTATATCTTCGAGTTTCATTCCGTAATTCTCCCGTGTCCGCGGAACTATCGTTGGTGACTGCGATAAAACCAGTAGCAGCAGCAGTATTGAGTCTATAAGAGTTAAGAGACGGGGCCAGGAGCCTTAAATCGATCCATGGATATTCAACTAGGTGAGTACAAATAGGCGAGTACAAATACTCATGGGCATTTTGAAGAGCAGAGAATTTCAAGAGTTGATGTTATCTATTTTACTCTATTGGTTATTCCTGTTATCATGGCCCCTGCGTCACGCTCCTGGACTAGACTCTGCCGTCTTGTATGAGCGCCTAGAAAGGGCGTAACAAACGTGTTTTAATAGCCACATTACCTCTTTCTGATTAGTGTAGCCTAGAGACGAGACCTGGTGCAGTGGTGACTAGTAATTGGCGGGATGATGGTTAAGATTGGTAGTGAGGGGAGATTGTGGTGAGGAATTGTGGTAAGGGGTGGTGGTGAGGGGGGGAGGATGGTGGTGAGGGGGAGGATGGTGGTGAGGGGAGGACGGTGCTGATGGGTGGTGAATGGGAGGGATGGTGGTGAGGGGTGGTGATTGGGAGGGATGGTGGTGAGGGGTGGTAGTGAGGAGAGGACGGGCGAGGGGGAGGACGGTAGTGAGGGGGTGGTGGTGGTGGTGGTGGTGGTGGTGGTGGTGAAGAGAATACTCCTCTTAGCCTCTTTAGTGTTGTCCTTCACCTCTAGTTATAAGTCTCTTGAATCAATTTCCACACACACACACACACACACTCACACTCCCTCTTCCCTTTTGTTTTCCCCAAACTTCTCCTAGGTCCCTTTCTCCTTCTTTTCAATGCAGCCATCTCTCTCTCTCTCTCTCTCCTTCCTTCCTCTCCAAACTTCTTTTTCCAGTGTGTTAGAAAACTTGAGTAATTCTGGAATGTCAGATCCTGTGTAAGGAAACTCCAGTAGTGCTGGAAGCACTCCAGCCTAGGGTCAGTGTTTTCTCCCTCCCAATATAATGTTAATTACGAAAAAGTGGTTTTCTCAGGTGATGTTCCTTATCTTACGTTCTCTCCTTTCTAATTATTCGTTATTTACTCTTCCTTTGATTTCCTCATTTTCTTTATTCTCATAAGCCATTTAAGGGAAAATAGGTCAATTAGCAAGAACTCGTTTAAAATCAAGTCCTTTCTAAAATTTTCTCTTATACGTTTAAAGATCATTTTTTTTTCATTTGTGTTAAGTAAAAATTAACAATTTTGTACCAAAAACACCTTAGAAAACTTACCTAACCTTATTATAACAAGCGCAATTTAATTTAGCCTAATCAAACTAAATATATTTTAGATAACTTTACAATAATTTAGTAATACACAGACACAATGAAATTTTTTTTTTCGTTAGCATCACAATGATTTTTGCGAAATTATTGCATACACAAATTTTCGCTTGCCTTATTCTTTACTATCACATCGGCCGATTCCCACCAAGGCAGGGTGGCCCGAAAAAGAAAAACTTTCACAATCATTCACTCCATCACTGTCCTGCCAGAGACGTGCTTACACTACAGTTAGAAAACTGCAACATTAACACCCCTCCTTCAGAGTGCCGGTTCTGTACTTCCCATCTCCAGTACTCAAGTCCGGCCTGCCGGCTTCCCTGAATCCCTTCATAAATGTTACTTTGCTCACACTCCAACAGCACGTCAAGTATTAAAAACCATTTGTCTCCATTCACTATCAAATACGCTCACGCATGCTTGCTGGAAGTCCAAGCCCCTCGCACACAAAACTTCCTTTACCCCTTCCCTCCAACCTTTCCTAGGCCGACCCCTACCCCGCCTTCCCTCCACTACAGATTTATACACTCTCGAAGTCATTCTGTTTAGTTCCATTCTCTCTACATGTCCGAACCACCTCGGCAACCCCTCCTCAGCCCTCTGGATAATAGTTTTGGTAATCCTGCACCTCCTAATTTCCAAAACTACGAATTCTCTGCATTATATTCACACCACACATTGTCCTCAGACATGACATCTCCACTGCCTCCAGCCTTCTCCTCGTTGCATCATTCATCACCCATGCTTCACACCCATATAAGAGCGTTGGTAAAACTATACTCTCATACATTCCCCTCTTTGCTTCCACGAACAGAGTTCGTTGTCTCCACAGACTCCTAAGTTCACCACTTATCATTTTCCCTTCATCAATTCTATGATTCACCTCATCTTTCATAGACCCATCTGCTGACACGTCCACTCCTAAATATCTGAGTACATTCATCGCCATGCTCTCTCCCTCCAACCTGATATCCAATCTTTCGTTACCTAATCTTTTTATCCTCATCATCTTACTTTTTCCTATTTTCATTCTTAATTTTCTTCTTTTACACATCTTACCACATTCATCCACCAACCTCTGCAACTTCTCTTCAGAATCTCCCAAGAGCACAGTGTCATCAGCAAAGAGCAACTGTGACAACTCCCACTTTGTTTGATTCTTTATCTTTTAACTCCACGCCTCTTGCCAGGACCCTCGCAGTCACTTCTCTTACAATCCCATCTATAAATATACTGAACAACAACGGTGACATCACACATCCTTGTTTAAGACCTACTTTTACTGGGAAATAATCTCCCTCTTTCCTACATACTCTAACTTGAGCCTCACTATCCTCGTAAAAACTCTTCACTGCTATCAGTAACCTACCTCCTATACCATACACCTGCAACATCTGCCACATTGCCTCCCCTATCCACCCTGTCATACGCCTTTTCCAAATCCATAAATGCCACAGAATCCAAAACTGTGCCCCTGAGCCACGGAGCTTACATCAGGAAGATTTTGTTGACAACAGTTGTGACGGCATCTTTCACCTGCCTCTTTCTCTCGGTGTATTGCTGACTTGCCATTGTCAATTACGTTAAGTGTTTTTCTTCGTAATATTCACTCGGTGGTCCTGCTTTACTTCTTCCTCCTCCGTTTCTATTCTCATCACCAGTTTCTCTATAATTTTCTTCCTTTTCTGTATTAATATTAACTTGCTTTCTCTCTCCCCTCACTAACCGACACCTCACCTTCCTCAATCCTCTCGTAAATCTCTCCCACTCCTTGTAGTTCCTCCATCCACCTCCAAGTCCCTTCACAGTACCCTTCAACCCCCCAGCCACCCAGTCCCCTCCACCCTTCCAAGTTCCCTTCCAAATATACAACATGATCGTCCACTAAGCACGACAAGAATCTTACTGATGTATTTCTCATCTTTTCTGTGACTTTGGACGCCAGAGTCAGGAATTTAGAATCTTGATTCTGGAATCCGGAACTTGAACCCTGGAATTCTCAGTCCCTGGAGTTTTTTTTTTTTTTTTTTTTTTTTTTTTTTGTTTCGTGGGGTGTTTAATTTAAGGGTTGGCGTCCTTTTGAGATCATTATTTTCTGGAAGTTAATGGGATAAAGTTTAGGAGTTAACACTGCGTGAGATTGTGACTGTGTGTGAGACTGTGTGTGTGTGTGATGTGTGTGTATGTGTGTGTGTGTGTGTGTGTGTGTGTGTGTGTGTGTGTGTGTGTGCGTGTGTGTGTGCGGGCGCGCGCGCGTTTGCAACATATTACTATCACTTTCCTCTAAAATCTTCTATTACATATTCTCAACACATAACACATGAATGCCGTATACATACTACACATATACAACCACATACGGCTTCCACTACACAAACTCACAAGCACCACATCAAAGACAAGTATGTAGGCGTGTGGACCTCTAGCAGGAACAGCCAGGTTGATCAGGCAGTTAGCAGGAATAACCGGCCTCTGGTTAAGCAAGAGGGGTAGAGAAACCCTGGAAACCATTCACAAGAATGATGTAAATGGTTTCGAAAACAGACAAGTTGAAGACTGAGACACGTCCAACTTCAGGCTGGGGGACTGATTAGCTCAAACTTCTCGTCTACCACCGTCCTCCGTATTGGACCGAAGACACTGGCTGGCTTCCCAAATGTTGCACAAGTGTCTCATTCTACAGTCACAGGCACACACACAGTGTCTGAAGTGACCAGTGAAGAGGTGGGGCCAGGAGCTATGACTCGACCCCTGCAACCAGGGCTTCAATAAAGCCTTGCTTCCTTTGTGTGTCTTTCAATATTGAAAATGTTTCCCTCAGAGTCCTTGAAGATTATACAACGATGACTTGTCGAGTGAAAGATGCTGAAGTCTACAGTGTTGTCGAGTGAAAGATGCTGAAGTCTACAGTGTTGTCGAGTGAATGATGCTGAAGTCTACAGTGTTGTCGAGTGAAAGATGCTGAAGTCTACAGTGTTGTCGAGTGAAAGAGGTGTACGTTTCATGAAGAATTAACGTCACAATTAATAGTTGTTACAAGTGTGTGCCATGACACCGAGACGTAAGCGAGGGGAGACAGATGAGATTTTCTTTTTTTTTTTGGGGGGGGATGACGATGAGGGGTTTTCCCCCCTCACTACACCCCATTAAGAAAGCAGATTGACTTAGTCGTTGGCATAATATTATTTGGGAACCGCTGCTGCCGATGGCTTTTGTGGGAGGTAATGAAGAGGGGAGAACTTTGAGAGCGAAAAAGAGAGCTAAGAGTGAGAGTGAATTACATCCCGTAAGAAAGAAATTTCAATTTCATTTAAAGATATTAAACACATGTGCAACACCTAGATATCTTTATTGGTAGATACCTTGAAATAAAGATACCCAACTGTTGCACATGTGTTTAATCCCTCATCTCGTCGGTATCGTAATAAAACTATTTAAAAATATAAACACATATGCAGTATAATGTGATCCTTTATTGACAACGTTTCAGCCCACACGTTGTCAATAAAGGATCACATTATACTGCATGTGTGTTTATATTTCCATTGTGTCGGTATTTTATACCATTTATTTCCAAAACTATTTTAATTTAATACACCCTCCCCCGTGGTACGATAGCACACAAAAGAGGAAAAACATACACTGTTATTTGGTCAATCGACGAGTGCTGACCTCAGATGACTCTCCCAACTGCAGCATCCTCGCCCAGCCTTCAGAGTTCATCCTACTCTGGTAACGTTCTTAATACACCAAGCTGAAAAATAGGTTACCTATTAAAGATTAAGACATGTGAAACCGTTTTACCTACACAGTAAACTTCTTCAGGCAAATAGAAAGATGATGTAATCAGACTATCAACCTGGAGAGGAGTTCAGCTCCACGGGGCTGAAATCCTCTCCAGGCTGAGGGACTGACCACCTCAAATTACTTTTTCTCCAAGGTTGATGGACTGATTACATCATCTATATTTCATTACTACTGCTCCCTTGTATTTGACTGAAGAAGCCTACTGTGTACCCGAAACGTTTCATCAATAAAGATACCTAACTATTGCACATGTGTCTTAATCTTCAACTTGTTGCAATTTTTTACCATTTTCAACAATTTTCTTATTCACTCTTGCTTCAGCTTAAGGACAACAACTCGTTTACTCAGATGAGGAAATTTATTTGAAGCTAAATCTCATCTCCAGTTCGCATACACAATCGGATTAAAATTGTATCCAGACGACAGTAAAAATATCATATTCGTTGCTGCAAATATCTCAGGCAGCATTGAGCATCAATCTCTCAGAGGCTGCCAAAATGATTCCACGAGACAGCAGGAAAGTAGCCAGGCAAAATAGACAAGACATCAAAGACCATGACAATCCTTCAAACACCCGTAGGGTGAAGCATCATAATTTTTCAGTAATCTGAAACACCATAATCCTTTTAACACCCGTAGGATGAAAACACCATAATCCTCCTAACCGTGGGATGATATCGCCAATAGTTATGAGGCCCAAAGGATAAAACACGATCCTTAAAACACTAAGGATGAAACACAACCAGTCCTTCAAACACCCAAAGAAACACAACAGTCCTTCAAACACCCAAGAATGAAACACAACTAGTCCTTCAAACACCCAAAGAATGAAACACAACCAGTCCCTCAAACACCCAAAGAATGAAACACAACCAGTCCCTCAAACACCCAAAGAATGAAACACAACCAGCCCTTCAAATACCCAAAGAATTCGATCACGACTCGGCTCCAAAAGTTTTAATCGGAGAGAGAAACTCTGTCAATAGAAGCCAACTTCATCTTCCCCCCAACACATCTTAGGAAGTCAAGCTCGTGTGTACTTTCCTCGTTTCTTGAATCGGCTCTTCGTTTCCTGTAGGAACTGAAAAGTATCCCTTGATAACCGACGGGATGGAGGGAATACTGCAGGTTCTCCGGTTCCTCGAGGTTCTCCTCCCCAAGTCGTCTCGCTGAGAAAGGATTCCAGCGCGAGCGGAGATCTCCCGGTTCGACAAGAGCGGAAATCTCCGCCTCCGACCGCAGTGGAGATCTTCTCTGTTTAGTGGAGTGTAAAGAGGCAACGTAACCGTGTAATGTGCTTAATCTGTTTCACATCAGACCATTGGTTAGCGATGGCGGGGGCGTGAAGCAGGAGGAGGAGGGAAGAAGGGCGAGAAAGAGAGAGGGGAGGTGGAGAGAAGAATGAAGATAGGAGGGAGTGAGAAGAAAGAGAGATACAATCTAGACTGGTCTGTTCTTTGTCCTCCCGGCAGTGAGGTGCTTATTTCCACCGGAGATGCGGAGTTCTGGGATCACCAATGATTTCGTTGACGGGACTGTTTAAGAATGTGTTGCTTGGAAGGGGAACAGCAGCGTGAGGCTGGAACGATACTACATTATCTTAAGTGGTTGACACACAAGGCAACATAAGCTTTAGTGAATGCTTCTATACCATTCAGTACCACAATCTTGACTAGATGCCGCGATACCATACAGTACCTCGGAATATATGAAATATAACTTACGATACCACAATCTCAAGTGAATGGCATGATGCCCCACAATACCACAAAGGGAGGGAAGGGGGATGGAAGAGGGAAGAGTAGGAGGGGAGGGGTGGGAGGGTGGGTGTTGGAGAGAGGGAGAGGGAGCCAACAAAGTTAGGATCTGTCTCGGGTCAGAGAGCTCTAAACTGATTATCAAATTATATTAATGTTCTGATTTTCTGCGCCAGTTCCATGTGGTGAGCGGCTCGTGGGAGGGAGAGTGTGTGGGAGGGAGAGGCTCGTGGGAGAGAGAGTGTGGGAGAAGCTCGTGGAGGGAGAGAGTGGGAGAGAGGGAAGGAAAGAGGAAGTGTGTGTGTTTGTACTAAAGAGGGAAGAATGAAAATGTGGGAGAAAGAGAGATGGAAAGTAAGGGAGTGCGTGTGTAAGGGAGTTTGTGTGTGTGTGTGTGTGTGTGTGTGTGTGTGTGTGTGTGTGTGGAGTGAGAGAGAGAGAATGTTGCCAGTATTGACCTTTCACCCGAGTTATGAAAAACTGCTGATATAATCGAGTGAAACGACTCTTTTTGTAGTAGGGATATTTGGGATGGTTACTGAAGGTGAGAGGTCGTTAAGGAACCAAGTCATGTGTGGCCTGGTGAGTGTGTCTGCATGTGTGTCTTGTGGCACTAAAGGAGATCTGATTGGGCCTACGCTCACCAATCTGAGAAGTGGCTCATCTTTGAACGCCTGTTCTTATAAGCAAAAGAAGGTTTGAGGCTGAGTGCCCAAGGAGCATTCCTGGTAGTATTGAAAGTGACCAGGGAATGAAGCCCAAAGAGTGAAAGATAAAAGCCCACTGTACTGAAGGAACAAAGACAAAAAAATAACAGGATTAATGTTCACTAATGGTGAGTGAACACAGATAAGAACAGAAGTGATGTTGAAGAGGAGTATGGATGGCTTTTGTTAGGTCTTCAAAGCATTACCGGGAAGTTAATTTGTACGTGTTAAGAACATTTCTTTGTGAAACATCTAAGATAGAATTCGTAACTAGTGTACCTTCTGTTAGTGCTTGGAAAAGTTAAGGGTTACGAATAAAAAAATAAATTTTACAAAAATTGTAAATGCTCCAGATTCATTTTCCCAAGGGAAAGACGAGGGGATGAGATGCTGCAAGCAGCACCAACTTTATGGGAGAGATGAGAGCTGGCTACAGACAGACGGGACTCAGCCACAGTGGAGTGAAGTGACAAATCAAGGCTAAAGTCCTCTTTATCAAGAGGAGTTACACTTGTAATGCTCACATCAATAATGTAACCCATTTCCAATAGTACAGAACAATGCTCTAACCCTCACACACAGTACGTATTATATTATTCTTCCATTAAAATTAGCTAAGTGGGGTATTTTCCAGTAATTTCTATTGTTAGTAAAATTTATCAATGTTTTCCTCGTAAATTGGTATATCATTTTCCAGCGTATAATTTCAATGAAGAAGAATGTTATCATTAAGTGGAATACAAACTGGCGATAGGTGTTCTTAATATTTGTCAGGAGTGTGGCGGAAAGTGTGCAGGAAGTCTATGAGGGAGAGTGTAGGGTGAGGGTGTGTGAAGGTTAGTGTGTGTGAGTGAGAGTGAGTGAGTTAGGAAAAGAAGGAGAAATAAACCAATATAAAAGTAGAAAGAAACGAGAAGTGAAGATAAACACCATCACCTCCATCTTCACCTCTCTCCCTCCTCGCAACGTTCGAACCATTTCCAGCCGCCCCATATCCCCCGTCTCTTAGGCACGCGTGTCCTGGACATGGAGTGGAAGTAAGGGGGCTTTACTGTGGTTACATACATCAGTCCAGATTTTACTCTTGAAGCCTAATATGGTTCATTCTCCTCCCCGTTTTTACCCCTAACAAGATTTATTCATTTAGTGATAAATGCGATAGGCTTCTTATGATTTCAGGTGTGGCGAATGTGAGGGTTATAGGGAGAGTGTACGGTCATTAAGATTACTGTTGGGTGAGAGAGTAGTGAAAAGGAATATCAATATAAAAGTAGAAATACAGAATAATAAACACATATCATCTTATCTATCTCTAAAGTTGAACCATTTACCATATCCTATCTTAGCATTCTACATAGTGAATAACTTTATGTGTTACATAATATATTTTATTCGAACTAATATATATATATATATATATATATATATATATATTATATATATATATATATATATATATAAATATATACAGAAAACAGTTGGAATTACAGATAGGTTAATATCTAAGTGCTGTGTGTGCTCACCTTATTGTGGTTGCAGGGGTCGATTCATAGCTCCTGGCCCCGCCTCTTTACTGGTCGCTACTAGGTCCACTCTCTCCCGGCTCCATGAGCATTCTCGTATCTCCTCTTAAAACTGTGTATGGATTCCGCCTCCACTACATCACTCTCCAGAGTGCTGCACTTCCTGATGTCTCTATGACTAAAGAAGTGCTTTCTAACATCCCTGTTACTCATCTGAGACGTGTATGTGTATGAGTGTGAGTGTGAGTGTGAGTGTGATGTGTGGTGTGTGTGTGTGTTGTGTGTGTACACATTAGGAACTGCTCGTGTGCAAGTGTCGGCAATTCATACGATTTACCTATCATTTTAAAACATGCATGACCCATGACCTTCTCTAGCCTCGCCAAATCTCCGAAACTCGCTGCAAAATACACGAACACGAGTAAAGAATAAGTTTCCTCTCGGTATAAAAATCGGATGCATACAATTCAGTCGGGTGGAAAAAGTCGGTTTAATTGGACCATAATTTTCAGCAAGATTAAGTTTTATAACTTTTCTAATATCCAAACTCAAAGTAAAATTTACGAGTGAAGATATATTGGGAAGATGTGAGTCACACACACGGAGTTTGTGGGAGGAGGCACCAGCTGATGCAAGTCAACTTTGGTCAGCTGATGGATGTAAACAGTGATCAGCTGATGAATGTAAACAGTATCAGGGTGATTAACAGCGATCAGCTGATGAATGTAAACAGTGATCAGCTGATGAATGTAAACAGTGATCAGCTGATGAATGTAAACAGTGATCAGCTGATGAATGTAAACAGTGATCAGCTGATGAATGTAAACAGTGATCAGCTGATGAATGTAAACAGTGATCAGCTGATGAATGTAAACGGTGATCAGCTGATGAACCTCAAGCAACAACCAGCCGAGAAATCTCAGTCATATTTAGCTGATGAACCTGGAAAATCATAATTAGCATTCAATTAATGAGCTTAGTA